AATCGTCAACACATTCATTATCCCAAGAAAACTCTTCTAAAACCAAAGGGTTGAAATTACTTCCTTCTTCATGCCTCTTTTTGAACATGTTGATAATCTTCCTATTGTACTGAACGAACACCAAATCATTCGGTCTCTTATGCTCCAACTTATTTCTTTTCTTGGTGTGGATCTAAATAAATAAATAACTAAAACTTATTATCAATTGAAGTAAGTAGTTACAAACCTATACACTTCAAAAGGATGGCGTGACTTACAAATTCAAACGTACTCCAACTACGTTCGCAACCCGAAGAACAACAACAAAGGCCTATTATGCGTAAAGCAAGTGATTGTAGCTCCAAAGCATGGCCACCAAAAGCATTCCACCAATCAACTAATAAGTAATAATATTCATAAGTGTTTTCAGAATTCAGATTTTATAAGTCATAAAAAATTAAAATAAATACTATTATTTTAGTAACAAGGTATGACTTACGAGACATCTTTGTTTTTTTATGTTTGATTGGCAATGAATTTGGAAATCCTCCTCGCAAGAAATCATAATCATTCACTTGTTTGCTAATCTTGCTCTCCAACTCATCATCACCAATCATCTTATAAACCCAAATCATTAAACAACTCTCGTAAGCATATGCAGTTTCAGTCCTTTTTAAGTCAAAATATCTAGAAGGGTTGAGAAATAAAGCAGTTCCATTCAACTTTACTTCCATTTGATACGCCCATCGATCCTCAATAATCTTCATCAGCTTTTTCAACACTCTGGTCTTACACGCAAATGACTCATTGATTTTGTTCTTAGCTTCTCTCATAGCCATGACAAGCTTGCTCATCCCTATCGACTATCCTTAGAACAACAAGAAGTGGATGACATGCTCTCAAGGTATCCTCCACCCCATTCCAAAACTTAGAAGCAAGAATAGTGCATGATACCCTTTGCCTCACTCTTATACTTGACAACTTCGAATTATTCCAATCGTGACTCACAAACAGGTTCCTGAAAGGTTCTATATACTTGCATAAACTTTGCAAAGTGAGAAATGTTGTGGCAAACCGTGTAACGCTAACCCTCACTAGATCTCTTCCGCCAGTTCTCTCCCGCATTGCACTTAGAATCCTTCTATGCCTATAAATAAAATAAATAAAAGTGGTGCAACGTCTTCCACTATCATTCCAAGGCTTAAACTCAATGAGTTTCCCAATATCCTCCATCATAAGGTCTAGGCAGTGAGCCGCACAAAGAGTCCAGGAAAGTGTGGGTATACGTTGCTCCAGTAGCTTCCCTGCCGCTTTGTAGTTCGCCCCATTATCTGTCACTACTTGAACGACATTCTCTTTGTCAATCTTTTGAATCTGTTTCTCAAGCAATGATGCCAACAGAATTGCATCTTGTGACTCGTGCGAAGCATCAATTGACTCTAAGAAGAAAGTCTTTTCTGGACTATTAACGAAAAAATTGACCAAGTACCGACACCTTTTATCGGACCATCCATCTGACATGAGTGTACATCCACATTGCTTCCAAGCAATTTCATGTTTGTCCTTCAATTTTTCTGTATCCTTCACAGCTTCCTCGAGAAGAGGCACCCTTAATTCATGGTAACTTGGGGTTCCAATCCAGGGCCAAACTGCATGATTGACTCAATCATAATTTCGTAGCTTCTTGAGTTTGCAACATTGAAAGGTATGTCATTCTCATAGAAAATATCAACAATGTGCCCATGAACTTTCGTCTGTTGACTCTTACCCAGAGAATGCCTTTCCTCAATCACTTATTCAGGTGACATTCTAATCATTGAAGCAACATAAATAGTCGGTTTACCTAGTTTTGTTAATGAATGCTAAAATTTTAGAGTGGACTGCGCTACACGCTTCCTTTTGCTGGTTGTTCCAGAACTAGAAACTGGATGAATAGAAGAAGCACGAGATGATACTTGTGTGACACGATACTCGCCAATTCAACATCTTCATCATCCAATTCAACACTCACTTGCATTTTATTCTTCATTTTGCTCTTCATATAATTGTCTATCTTAGTTCTTGTTTCTGGAGTTGTCTTTGCGCATTTGTCACATCCCCGTAACCGCGAACTAAGTGTTGCTTCAACCATTTAAATCCGGAATGCATCTCCACAAAGTGCGCATTGTACCAAATCTTGGTTATTCTTGTCCGGCCAAAAACCAAAATCCCATCCGGGATCATCTGATTTGGTTTTTCTGAATCCAAATCTAGGATCTTTTGATGGATCCAAACTTTAATTGGTATTTATTCCGGATCAGCCATGGCAAGCACCGCTTAAAAAACAATATTAAATATAAAACTCAACAACCAAAATTTCACTAAAAACTTTAAAAAAATTACTAAATGTAAGAAAACACAGTTACACAACGTACATTTCAGCATAAATTGAAGACACCGAAAAATTATGAAATATAAAATTAAAAAAATACTGAAATTTATTCATTATTTGGGGAAAACTGAAATTTGTTTTCATAAAATTTAAAATTTATTGAAGCAAGTATCCAACTGGAGTAATAACTAAAAAAGTTATTACTGAAATATTAAATATTAATGTTAAATGCAAAGTTGATATACAAAGTTGGATGATTTTACAAAGCTGGATGATATTAATATTAAATACAAAGTAAATAAAAAAGTCAGCACTGTAAAACTAAAATATTAAATACAAAGTTTTTTTGAGAAATTTTAAATACAAAGTTGGATGATTTTACACCCAAGTACCCAACTGGAGTAATAACTAAAAAAAATACGAATAACATACCCACACACTAAAGTTAAAAGTCCAAGTCTAGAAAAAAAATTGAAGCAAGTAAAACTGCGGACAATTTTTCTTGAGTGAGCGAGTACAAGCGAGTGAGCTATTTAAGCGACTTATCCAGCAACGGAAATACTTGGAGGAAGATTGAGAGTGCATACGATTGAAGACGGAAGGGAAGCAGGAACATGCGGACTGCGGGCATGGGCGGAGCTAGGGGTGGGCCAACCTAGGCCATGGCCCATCCCAAATTTTAAAAATGGCTTAATTTTTAAGGTAAAAAATTTCGTGTAAATTTTTCTCTAAAAATATTCTTTGTACCGGCCCAGTCCGGCCCAGTGCCCTGCCTCCGCCCCTGACTGCGGGAGATGGATGGGAAGCTGGACCGCAGATGGGACTCGGCGTTTGAGAAGTCGTCTGGTTTATTTTATTTGATGGGTTCAAAAAAATGGGTTTGGGCTTGTTCAAATAAGAGTCAATTCCGTAAATAGGACTAAAAGTGGTAAAATTGCACAAATAGGACTACATTTTTTAAATTCCCTTAATAGGACTATTTATGTGTGTTTGGACAAATGTACCCTTGTAACTTGTGAAATGTTTTAATTAATAATAAAATCATAAAAAAATAAAAAAAAATACTAAAAATCGTGAAAAAATTTATAGAAAATTAGTAAAAATATTTTTAAAAAAATTAAAAATAAAATTAAAAAAAATCGTAAAATTAAAAAAAAAACATTACCACCCCTGCCACCCAGCACCACCAGCTCCCATCACCGGATAAAAATATGCCAACATTTTAAGTAATGCCATAATGATGGCATATTCAATGAAAATGTTGGCATATTGAAGAGTAATTATGCCATTTTTTTGGCATTTTCAGAAAAAGATGACATTTTTTTACCAAAAGTGGAAGAAATTTCACCAATCGGAGGTGGTGGTGGTGCTGGGAGGCGGCGGGAGGCGGTGGGAAAGGTATCCATAATTTTTCATTTTTTTATGGGTTTTTACTATTTTTTATTATTTTTAAAAAATAAATAAAAAATAAAAAATAAATTTTTTATTTTATAAATGTTTTATAAATTTTTATAATTTTTTTACGTTTTTTAAATATTTTTTACGTTTTTTTATGATTTTATTATGAATTAAGGCATTTCATTATGAATTAATACTCTTAGGGGTATTTAGGGTAGAAAATCAATGTTTAGTCCTATTTAGGGAATTTAAAAAGTAGTAGTCCTATTTGTGCTTTTTAGGAACTCATTAGTTCTATTTAGAACAATTTTCATTCAAATAATTACGTTCTGGGTCGTCCCCTGGGCGTCTATGCCATTTTTCTGACGCCACATAGACACTACTTCGATGCCAAACGGTTTATGGCGTGTCAACAGCACATGGAGAGGCTCTCTTAGCGCCAGAACGATATGGCGACTATAAGGCGACGCCATGACAACTATGGTTATCACGGGAGGGGCATGGCGCTTAACGCCGTTAGAAATCGCCGGAGGAAGACGATGAACAGTAACCTTATTTCCAAAAGTGCCCAAAAAATTAATAGAAAAATACTAAGAGGTGCACCTTGTCAAGGAGACCACAAGATAATTTTTCTCTCTTGTTTCCTGCCACCCTTTTCGCCAGAAAGTCAACAACAAGAACAGTGATATTAGCGAATGCATTTTGAAAAAATAATTCATAATTCAAACAGAGCCAAAAAATCCAAAGAGGAAGATAATTTGGAGGTCTCCTTGATGAGGCGCACCTCCCAGTGTTTCCTTTTAATTTTTCGGCGTACTGTTCATCGTCTTCCTCTAACGATTTCTAACAGCGTTAGGTGTCATGCCCCTCGTGTGATAACGGAATTGAAACACATGTCCTACTTTGTTAAAAATGAAGCACATGTCCCTATGGCCCTATCTAAAAATAGGTCATACCACAAGTAACTTACTTTTCTGTACTTTTCCCTAAAAAAGTTGTGTGTCAGATTGGAGGTCTGTCAATAGAATTATCTTAAAGACTAAAATACTGAATATGGAGCCATGCCACGAAAGGTGTAAACCTGGAAGTTAGACTTATAAATCATCACATGATATGGATCAGTGTTGTAAAATAATCAAATAATAATCTTCTCAACCTTATTCTGCCGACCAAGTACACCAAAAATACATTTTCCCCTCAGCTTTTGTACAACACCAACAATAGTCATCAAAAAGGAGAAGGGTATAATTACCTCAAATGGAGAGTTGTACTAGAGTCGGAAGAAATTTTTTCAACAATAGCAAGAGCCTCATTAACCTTATCCCCAAGAAGAAGCAGCTGAAAAATAAAAACAAATCAAGAATCATTGAGCAGCACTACAACAATGACCACGTCTTTGTCTATAAAATAGAAATTCTCCCGTGCATTTGTTTATTTCTCATGCTCTAATCCTTTCATAGTCTTGTCCCAAAAGATTCATGCGAGCATATGAATAAGGCATTAAAACAAACAAAAGGGTTGGCAGTTTAACACGGCATGATATTCCGCACGAAGGATATCATAGTACAGTCTAGCACCCCAAAAACAATTCCTAGGATCTTGTTTCCAAATATTATGTTGAGGTCCATGAAGAGAAAAGTAAGCAAGAAAAGAAGCCAATAACATGAACCATTGGATTTGGTCTGTTATGAAATCACTGCAGAAAGTGCCTACAATACCTGTACCAGAGGATGAAATGCTTCAAGTGCTGGTGGCATTAGGGAGAATGCACGACTCAGATACATTACTGCACTATTATACTGATCATTGCGCAATCTCGTATGAAAATCATATAACTCCTCTAAATTTTCCAACTGGGGAAATTGTATAGGCAATAACAATGGCGGCAGACCTATGAATGAGAGTAACTATCAAAGATTATCTTACTAGTACTCATCAAATCTTCAATATCCAAAAAAGAATAAAAAATATAAGCTAGACGAAAGAGGCATCCATCCAACAGTGGAAAATGTGTCAATGCATCAAAATGTACACAACTTTATTAGGATTTAGCAGTGTGATGAAAATATTCTACTTACCACGAGTGTAGTAACTAGAAAAGGATGGAGGAGAACTGTCATTTGACATCTCAAGTTCACTCCTCTCATCAGAGTGCAAAGAGATATCTTGTGGCTGGTTATCATCTTCACGCTTTATTTCCCGAAGGTTAATTTCAACATCCTTGTGAACTTCTCCACATTTATAAGCACCAGCTTCAATGTATTCTTTATCGTTCCGAATAGATGTGTTGGAATCACATGTTATCAATGAACTGGGTTTTTTCCCTTCAGATGCACCTTGCCACTTTGAATCCACAATTGACATAAACATATTATCTTGTGATATTTCTGGTTGTGTGTTGCTTTCAAGTTCTTCCTGCTTACCCAAATGCATCTCTGCTGGAAGACTGGAATACCATAGCTCATAAAATGTCAACCCTACAACTAAATTTGAAATTGGATCACTCTCAAAACCCCGCTCCTGCATTAGACTGATGAAACCACCATCAATAATCAATACTCAAAATATAGAAAAGAGCAGATACTTCTCAACCACATATGAAATTAAATTCATTTGGGCATTCAAGTTAAGCAGTAAGCCAGTAAGTCAGTAACTTTCATATATATGTTGTTATTATGAACATCTACCAAATAACACAAGGGTTATACCTTAAAGCAGCTTGATATGCACCATCCATCTCCTTCCTTGTCAAACAGAAAACGGTGTGTTCCAATTGAACTGCGACTTTATTCTGACAAAAAAAAGTAATTTTATATTGTCGTAAGAATGCCTATTTAGCATTAGTGGATTAACCAAGTTATATGCAATACTATGCATTCACTCCCAAGTTGGTAATTTAGGTAGAACAACATTGAAGGCTATATGCTCTGTTTGTCTATTCAAAAAAGGCCCAGGTGTCGACTAGTCTCTAGGCGGCAGCCAGGCGCCCTAATTTTAGTCAGCTCAGTTCAAAATCATTCAACAGGCTAGTAGGACGCCTAGACCCAACTAATCAGGCGCCTAGAACTGGTTTTATAGGATTGAACCTGACCTTATTCATGGGTGTCAAGTAAACAACTAAGAAACTAAGGCAACAATTTTGTACCATTTACAAACATTATATGTTTCACATTTATCAAACATCAATCAATTACATAATTAAGCTATGAGATTAATTGTAAATTAATACGTAGTATTAAATTTTATGACTATCATTCATACATGTTGATATATGTGTGTGTGTGTGTATTTTCTACACACCTGGGCTCAAGGCTGGCGCCCAACTAGAGCATAGAGAGCTTTTGAAGACTGACAATATGTCAAAATATATGTAATACTGTTTCATGAATTATTTACCATTGCTTTCTAGCTGCACGTCATACATATACACTCTGTAAGCTAAAAAAAATGAATAGAGGGAAAGGGGGGGAATTAAAAAATCATATTTACCTTAATAGGCCATTTCTTCATAGGCCCAAGCTTTGACATCCACATCCCATAGACATTTTGGATCTTTCTTAAACTGAGGGAGTCACCTTTTAGATGTTTGAGAACCTCCAGAGTAGCCTACAAATGTTGATTTTAATATACATTGATTAGGCAAACCGATACACAATGCAGGAACCCTAAACAATGTCAACCATACTGTTTTTATGATGATAATCTAAACCATAGTATTTCAAATTCCAGTTTTTGTGTGTGTACACAGATGAAATACAAAAAATGATACATAAGGCAATTATATGAAGACTCTGCATACAAATGACAGACCAATAATTACATACCACTGTAAACTTAGAAAAGAAATTGCATACAAGCCGAGTAGGAATGCAGCATCTTACTAGTTCATACCGAGAACTTAGCTCGAGTCTTACGAATAGCATTTTCTTTAGAAGTTGCTATATGAAGCACGCTCAACACTCCACTCGCCTCAGTCCAGTTATGCCGCCGCAGCAACACCTGCAGTAGTCGCCGCAATTTCTTCCGGTGTATAGAGCGTATACTAGTGAAGTCTCGGCGTGCGCTCCCTATGCCACGCTTCAAGCAATATGAAGGCATCGCCTTTGCCAATACCACGCCATTGAATTTCTGGGTCTTTGTGGATAAACTCGGTTCCGAGTCGGAATCGTCACAGAGTCTCCGACGAGCCCTTCCCCGCTTCGTTTTCGCATCTTCTGATTCCGCTTCTTCGGCTTCCATAGAAAATTCTACCTTTGCATTCAGTTCTTCGGCTTCCATAGAAAATTCTACCTTTGCATTCAGTTCTTCGGCTTCCACAGAAAATTCTACCTTTGCATTCAGTTCTTCGGCTTCCATTGCAGTGGAAAGATCAAGAAAAATAATGCCGGCCTAACGTCAAGAAGGGCTTATTTAGAGCATCAACTGTCGGGCTGGTTCACGGGAACGACCGGGCAAATTCGTTGTCCTACGTTGAATTTTGATTTTGGTTAGTTGAGTTATATAGATGGGGTTTTATAGGGTTTGAACTTTGGCCTTTTTATTTGAGTATTATTACACGAAAGACAAAAGATATACGGAGTAACAAGGAAGAGAGGAATGATCCGGAATAGGATCCTCCCTCCGGTCGCGCAGTTTGGGACGGTTTCGTCCGAATTTTTTGATGAATTTTTTTGAGAATGTTTTTCATCAAGTCTAATTCATACACACAAAAAATCAGCTAAAAATTCTATCGGGAAGGCAGTCAAACGAATTATGGAAGATAACCGCGCCCTTTGTGTACATATACCACGCAGTTATCTTGAAGATACTCTTGGGGTCCGATGGATAAATGGCGTTTATCTTAAAAGAGAGAATGTGTGGGAATTCTCCCACACAACCGGGACTCACAACTTATGAAGAAATTATGTCTAATCCGATATAGGATTTGCAAAAAGTTCAACAATAGAAATGAGACTATTATGGCATTGAATAACATCTGTGTTAATGGCAAAATTAGGTCTATGACTTGTTGCGAACAAAAGGAATGGTTAGACCATGGATGCCGTTTATTTGGAAGAGGTACATTCCCCCTAAATTTTCCTTTACCGTTCGGATTGCTTTTCGGAACCGGTTACCAACACAGAATAACATCTCCTATCTAAATATGGTTAACCGGTGTGACCTTTGTAAGGGTGGGTTGGAAACAACACCACACCTTTTCTTTGTTTGTCCTTTTGTTTGCAGGATTTGGGTGAAGATAAGCAAATGGATTGGCATCACAAGACAGATGACCACCTCAGAGAAAGCAATCAAGTGGATTAGGAGAGACCATGGAGGTTGTTCATGGTCTCTCCTAATTACTGCACAGTTATCTTCAAGAATTAATTTGAATGCGTTCCCGATTGAAGTTTTAGCTGAAATTTGGTATGAGTAAACTAGACTTGATGAATAAGATGCTCAAAAAGTTTCATAAAAAAACTCCACCGGAAACCGGCCCAAATCGCGACGACCGGACAGAGCCTCCTATATAAGGACTTATTTGACCTTTTTTGAAAGTTCGAGGACCTATTTGACAGTTTTCCCTTAAAGGTAATGATAACCTGATTGAAACATCTTTATCACTCTATTTATTCAGTAATAATGATCTAATAGTTTCATTCAAATGATTTCTAAGTAGTAATGTCCATCAACTGTTCGTAAAAATTTCGAAGTGAATTTTTATTCATTTCTTAAGCAAATTTTAAATAAACTTTGGTGTGGTCGAATATAGTATTGACTATGTATAATTTATTTTTCATAATAGTTCTTTTTAACATTGATTTATATAGCTCTTATGCTACTTGAGTTAAGGAATTCTTGATTTTGTTTGTTATGTTCTAAGTTTTATTGGATTCAACTATTAATGATTCTTAGGTGATATTTTGAGCGATTAATGTTATACTTTCTATCATTGCATTTAAAATGAGCATTCAACAATTTACAATGTGCATTGTGTTAAAATCGATTGAGCTTTATAGTTAAGTAAGATGTATTCTAAGTTATTTGTAAAGAATATGTTACATGTGTGAGTTATAGAAATGATTTTTATGTTATACATATATGAGCATCACTTTCAAAAAATGAGCATTGCTATAACATTATAATTATAAAATGAGTACACAAAATGAGTTTTATGTTATACCCAAACGAGTATAATATTCACACGAAATGTACATTGATATCACATTTAAAATTTTTATTCTCAATTGCAGAGTTTCGACGTTTAATAGAGGAAATTTGATGCTCAATGAAATGTCTTGATCATATTCCAAAAGTTTAATATTAAATTAGATTCGCGTATTGCAATCCATAGGAGACTATTATTGATATAATTTAAACAATTTATATAAACGAAGAAAAAAGAAAAAAAAAAGTGAATAAGAAGTTATGAAGCAAAATTCACGATGTTCAATAATACTCAACAGAACATGTTTGATGCTCATTAAAAGTTCATTGATGCTCATTTAACAGAAACCGTGATTTTCATCTCAATAGAAGAGGTTTGATGCTCAATGAAAATATCATTATGTTAAACTAACAAACCTTGTGATTTTAATACCAATGAACATTTTGTAAGTTACGCATACTCATTTGGTACTGATTTCATGCTTATTTTAGAATTTCATATCAATAGATATTTCAAAAGTATCATATTACATGAAATTTGCATATTGGAATTCATAGGAGTGGGATATAGATATAATTTAATAAGTTTTTATAAAAGAAAAAATGAAAACAAATTATGAAATATGAAGCAGAGATCGTGATCCTCATTGTTAGGCTCCTAATACTCAATATAATAGGTTATGCTCACTAAAAGTACATTAATGCTCATTTAGTGGAAGCCATGATTTTTCCCTTAAATTACAAAAAAAAAAAAAAACGAAAAAAAAATCAGGTTATCTTAGTTAATGAGTTGTCTTCATTAGTTGTTGCGGATGTACCTACACCCGCATGTAGGATATAGGGACTCGTAGAAGTAGGGGTGAACAAAAAAACCAAAAAACCCAAACTAACCGACCGAAATTGACAAACTAAAACCGAAATCGACAAAACCTGAAACTGATTAAAACCAATCAAATTAGAAGTAGTATGGTTTTAGAAATAATAATTGGTATAAAAAACTCCGGCAACATATTTGTAAAAAACGTAGCTCCAACGACAAATCGGTAAAAAAAAATAAAGCTTCAGTGGTAAATTGATCAATTTTTATAAATGAGACACTATTAATCCGCAACTTCAGAATTCCCGGCTTTTAGTCTTCCAAGTATTGTGAAATTGACATTTTCATTCTTTCTAATTTGATTTTGTTATGAAAAGTGGAGAAATAATAATATGGATAAATAAATAATATGGATATCTTTATATATAATAATATGATTCTATAACAAAACACTGAGAGTAGTAGAAGAGAGCATAACAAATAAATAATATGGATATTTTTATTTAAGTATTGGTTATTAATAATTTTGTTCCTACACATTATCTTGTTGGACCGGGCTTCATATCCGGCCCTGATCCCCGATGGCTGTACAATTTGAAGAAAACAAATGACATTGACTTGGACCAAGACTGGAACGGCTGGTCTACCCGACTAGGTGTGAGACTGGCTATCCAGCGGGCCGGTCCCGAGCCTTCCTTTTATTTGGAAAGGACATGATCAGACCGGGTCCACCATACCTAGCTATTATCTAGCAACCAAACGATGATCGTCAAATATCCTCCTGGATAGTTTTAGTTCTCCACTTTTCATAACAAAATCAAATTAGAAATATTGAAAAAGTCAAATTCACAATACTTGAGAGACTAAAAATCGGGAACTCTGAAGTTGCAAATTAATAGTGTCTCGTTTATAAAAAATTGACCAATTTATCACCGAAGCTTTGTTTTTTCACCAATTTGTCGTTGGATGTACTTCTTTTACCAGTATGTTGCCGGAGTTCTTTTATACCAAATGGTAAAGTGCCTTTTTTTTTAAACTAATTTGGTAATTTGCCCCAATGTTGATTGGTCTAGAAATCCTTAGTCTAGAGAATTGAGTTGAGTAACTTTTTTTTAAAATGATTTTTCTTCGTAGATCTAGTACTCCGTAATATATTTGCATAGCAGCTCTAACAACGTACAATTTTGTACCTCACTACGGAAAACAATTCATTGTAGGTGCTTTTATGATACAACAAAAAAGCTAATTAGTCAAAATGAGGCATTAGCTTGAACAAAGAGAATTATTAATATAACATTATTAATAATAATGAATAGAAAAACGTTATAGCTAATCATTGTAATACATTTTAATTTTGCTGCACATGTTTATGTGGCTAGCCAAATTATGAGGGTAATTAGTTAATTGCTGGAAATGCTCTAACAATACCTGCCGAGATCACAAGCTGGCACTTGACTCCCCTAGATCCCCCCATATGATGGAAAAAAATCTGAATAGGCCCTCAACCTATCATTGATGTTCTTTCTACAATTTAATTAAGATGAAATGCTTCTCCAAATATTTCCATGCATTGCACATACAATTGCTTCCTCCATGACAACTGGTCAGTGACAAGTCAGGTCTTCGGTGGAGTGATTTGGTAATTCAACGTGCAGCAGCCTTTCGCCTTTCACCAAAAGAAGATCCTCGGCAGCGCCTGCTTGTCTGGTTTGAAAGCTCTCTCCATCACACAGCCTTTAGTTCAATTTCAGCACTCTAAAGTAGGGTGATGAGTCCTCTATTCCTGTTTCAAGCATTTTATTGTCCGGTCAACAAAGTGGCCTGAATTCACTCAACTAGGCATACAACACAATTGGCTTAAACCACAACATATAAAATCAGAGCTAAAAAAGATGCAACAAAACATTTGGACTCGTCCTTCTATTAGGTCAACCTTTCAGAATAGAACTTCAGATCCTAACATTGTATGTGCTCCTATGAAAAAATGATCTTAACATTCTACGTACTTGGCCTAAATCGCACTAAAAGGTTAAATTCAATTATCTTCAATTCTCCTGGAAGGGATTTTAATGCAATAATTTCCAAGTAGAGGAATGTGTTGAAGAGAATGCCCGGGAAAGAGAATATATCTCACCTTTGCACGTCTTGGGAGCCTGTTACAGTGACTTCTTTAACCATACAGATCCAGGAAACACCATCATGTTTATATCGCTCAAGCTTCTTTTATCATTCTCTTCAAAGGGTTCAAAGCCGAACCTCATAGTCCATGTATCCACTAAACTGGGAATTGCAGAAAGCACTAGTTTCGCAACCTTCAATGATTTTAACATCTAGAACCATCATTCAAGTTAATCCATATTAGTGAGAACATCATACATAAAGCTTAAAGCATCAATGGTCAAACCCATCCCACGCCACATAATCTCATATAGATGGCTCAAACAAAATAACGGGGCGCCTGTACTTTTAAGTGAACTATAATTGATATCAATAATACGGAGTAAGATTATTAGAGTATTAAAAATCATAGAAACATAGTTTACTTAGTTTAGTAGTATTATAGTTTCTTATTCTTAATAGGTTCAAGAGTTGGATTTCCAATTCCTACCAAAATATAAGCATTATAATACTCCAGAAATGAAGTTGTAGATTAAGTCATATCAATAAAGCTAGCAGGTTATTATTTGACAAAGATGTTTGATTTTTTTTTACATACCTCCTCTATGCAATTCATTAGCCGACGACACATTCCCTTGCGACGGTATTTGGTGCAAGTTGCAATTAAAGGTAACTCTGCTACCTTAGTCCCATGGATCCTGTTTCATGTGATGATTTTCAGAAGAGCAACTATCACTTCAAAGAGAAGCAAGGAAAGAAAATACAGGGATTTGGGGGGGGGGTGCATTTTGAACAACCATGTCACATTTTTGTTTGTCATACATTTCTCATTATTTCTTTATTAAAGAAGGTTTGACTATAAGTTACCTAATTGAGGCTACTGACACGATAATGTCATCATCTTCTAAAACAGCAGTATAAAATCCACAATAGTCCAGTCTCCCAAGATGTGATCTGCAGAGAAGTAAAGTAAAAGGCAGGACTTTGGAACATAATAAAGAGGGAATGATAATACAATGTCTGCACACACCTCCGGTTATAGATCACTTGAGGTATCATATCTATGCCCGTTTTAGGATCCACCATTGGAAGAAAACTTTCCTCCATAATGGTAAGAGCCACTGCTAACTTGGAGTTGCATTCTGCATTAAAAGGAGGAAGCTGCTGGACAGAATGGTTGTTCTTGTCACGAGGGATGCACTTCAAAAGTGTCCAGGAGAAGCCATCACTTAGCTGATTCGGTAGTCCAATGAGAGACTTAAGATGGGTGTAAACCTGCATAAAGTGGATCAGAATGAACCACCGAAAAGCCGGAAAATAGAAAATTTAACATGTCGCAAATACAATGGATTTGTTTAGACTGTGGAAAATGTTAGGGTAAGGAAGAAAATGATGCCAAGAAAATTAGTTTTTTTTATGTCTGGTTTAACCTTGGAAAGTATTAAGGAAGCATCTAATTGGATTAAAACTCTGAAAGTTTGTACATCAGTTTGCATTTCTTAATCTTTACATAATAGGAAAAAAACAAAACATATTTATAGAACTGATTAATTGATTTTGAACCAAATTATAGTTTTTTCCTAATCTTTCGTTCCTTCTCAGTTCCTCTAGTAGTCTATTTTCCTCTCTATTATCTTTCCTTACATTTTTACAGGTTCCAAATGGGCTCTAAAGAAACTATGCATTCAAAAAGTTGGCAATGACAAACATTTCATCCCAGAGTTGAAGTACGTGTCTGTCGTTAAACGATTTTAGGCAACTCATTAGTAACTTTGGTTACATTATAAGTTGCACATTTTGAATTACTTGCTGTTTTTCCTGTGTCACTATATCAAAACATCACACTTAGCATTTCTTTTGTAGTTAAGACTCTTATCAATGTGTAAAGTTCCTTGAGTGCAGTCTACAGTAATTGACCACAAAAGTTCTTTATATTATAGAGTGAAACAAATTTAATATTATAATGGGGAGACTGTTTACCTTCTCACATTGGTCACTACATGACCAGTGATCAGAAGCAACTCCACATTCCATGCCTTTTTGCTTCAAGCAAGCCTCATGGTCTATTCATAATTATTAAGACAATCCAGTAACCAAATAAAGTCAAGAAAAACAAAAGTTTACAACAAAATGAAATATGAAAATAAAATATAGAAATCCATTGGGAAAGAATAAGGTCTCGTTAATAATGCTAGGAAGATCTTGCGAAGTGAAACATTCACAGGAGAGCAAGCTTACATCGATGTTCGCATTGTATACACTTGTGTGCATTAGTGAATGCAGAAACTTCAGTATTTTTTACCACATCCCCGCATTCTCGGCATGCACATTGTGAGCAATACCAACTCCCTTCTGGAAGTTCCTGAAGCCAGCAAGTGATAACTGTGATTAATGAATGCATTCTTGTATGTTCATAACAAGGTATCCTCTAATTCCGTTGAAGAGAAAGCATTACTTGTTAAAATGCAGAAATCGTAACTAAACTAAATAGAAGTAGCACTACATTTTATGCATCATTTGTAATACTTTTTAGCATGACAATGTCAACTTTATGCAAGTTTTCTAAAACTTATCACATTGTCTTTTATAGTTGTATTTGCCAACTCACATATTTAAGAGACGACAAGTGTTTTTTTGTGTATTGCAGAATGGAATTAAGATCCAATACATACAAGACATAGATGCTCATGTCCGAAGAAATCCTCCTATTGAACTTAGGAATTGAGATCCTACACACAAGACATAGATACGAATGTTTGAAGCAGTTTTCCTAGTATCATAGTACACTAATCGAGTACATTCTATTAGTACAAATTCTACTTGACTTACCACATATATTCTATAACTGTATATCTTATTACCATATATTTTCCTCCTCTCAAGATGGTGTGCCATGCACAACTTCTTAAAAGAATAAGAAACATTAATATCACTTAACGCCTTCGGAAATAAATCCCCCAATTGTTCTCAGGTTTCACATAACCCGTTGAAATGTGACCTTTGAAATGCATTAAATGTCAATGGATCTCAATATGCTTTATTTTCTCATGAAAATTTAGATTAGATACAATGCAATTTGCAGCCTGTTGATCATGTAATTACGTCACGACTTGAAGGTATTGGTGTTGCGAATTCATTTATGTTCTTAGGTTTCTGCACTTTAACTAGATGTAATATTCAAATTTCCTTTTATCCTACCGATCAATATCTATAAAACATTATATGCTTATGCTAATATAGAAAACAGTATATATTCTACCTGATTTACCTTTCTATTACTATATGTAATACGAAGTATATGATAATCAAATACATGATATATATTTGATTACCATATACTCTAATATTAGCATATACTCCTGCCTCATTATCTTTGTCTCATCCATCCTTGATTGTCCATCCTAGTGATCTCTCTAACTTTATCTGAAACCATATATTCCTGCCCCATTATCTTTCTCTCTCTGATGCATGTAAAAGGTTATTGTCTTATTGAGTATTGGAGTATATTGCAAAACCAATAACCGAATCCAACAAAAAACCAAAATCTCTAGAACTATAATTTGCATACACTTAAGATGCAGTGCTTGAATGAATTGAAATGAAAGAAAGAAATGAAGGCCATTATTGATAGAACACTGGTAGAATACGACTAAGAACAGTAGAGAATCCAAGAGAATTGATCAAGAGAGTGTTTATTGATTTAGGAGGTATGTACAGAAGGTATACAGTTCATAGGACCATTCGAGATGCCCAGTCTCCAAAGTCTAAGTCCAATTAAAATAACAGCCTACTCCTTCTAGCTATTAGCCTTCTATTTATAGCCTTCATCCACGCTGGGATGTAAAACTGCTAGCTAAGTAGCTAACTAATCAGTTAACTAACTAACTACTCTTTTATTCCTCCTGTGATAAGTCTTTTTAAAGTATTCAATAGGCTGCTCATTCGCATGCCTATCAATTATCTGGTCATGGAGTAAAGAGGAAGAGGGTTAAGAGCATAGGTGACTTTTGACCACTATATTTTGTTTCCTGAAAACTAGAAAGATCGATGCTGGATGTAACTTCTAACTTACCTCTTCTGTTAAAACATAACTAAATGAGCATTATTATACTTTAATATCATAAATCCATGATTGCCTGTACATTAATTTTGGACTCTCTTCAAAACTGCCCCCTAAAGTGAACAGTTAAAAAATCGAATCTATCAAACGGATTGACCGCTTGGGACTTGCACTCAAGCATTGGGGACTCTTTACAAGTTTTAATGTGAACTCTCTGTAAATTTTGAATTTCTTAAACAATCTGTCACTAGAAGAGTAGTGCTGTTGAGGTTGAATATGTAGATGCACACTCAGATAAATGAACCACATGAAATGGGACACTTCCACTACACCTCTGGAAAGACAGGTGAATGAAATCAAGCGTTAGGCAAAAGGGAGTGGATTTGAGGCATGTCCATGAATAAAATTGGTCATAATGTATTTGGATCAAACCAACAACAAAAGGTCTATTTCAGCGAATTAGCTGGTTGAATCTATAGCATGAGACTCCCTATTTTTTGGCTTGGGAATATGGTGGAATAAAGAAAAATGGCTAACTAAACTGTGCGTTTCTTTGTTATGAAGCAGCAGTCAGGCCACACAATTTAATTTTGACGCGATTTTCATCATGGGTCATCCAGAAACTGTCTCTATGTGCTTTAATACAGTGGTAAGGCTGCATACATCCGACCCCCCCTTACCCCACCATTGGCGGGAGCCCGTCACTGGGATAATGCTATTGTTGTCTATTTCTGTTTAGCTCTTCAAAATCAGAATCCTTTCATGAATTCAACTTGATGCTATGAAAACCAAGTACCAACAACTAGTACCACTATCATTCAATAAAGTAGTAACGGAAGCTTGAGTTTAAACCCCATTTCGCCCAACTTTTAATTAATAAAATTGGCACCCAAAGCTAGAAAAAACATTTAATAATGAGGTACAAACTCCACTTCCGAAGAAAATGGGGTGCAAATTGTAAAGATTTAAATATGGGGTGAAAACTCACGATTAGATGAAAAAGTGGGGTGGGAACTCCAATATCCCCTGACTACTTAGTACCCATTCTCATTTGTACAAATAAGAAATATTAAAGCTTTCTATTAGTTTTTTCCCATACCAAAGAACTGTAGAAATTTTAAAGACCACATAATATTAAAGTATAATTATGCATAGTTATGAGATTACCAAGTTGAAATATCTCTCTGTTAGCCATCGTGTGTTAGATAGTCCTCAAACAAGCATTTAGTTAAGAAATAAGCAGCATCAAGGTTCCTAAGAACAGGATCAGATTAGCAGAGGTAGCTTCCAGTGTGAAGTCAAATGTTTAGTTAGGTGTATCCTCACACTTCAAGACGACAAGCTATAAACTTTAAGAGAGTAAAAAAATTAGGCAAACAGACTGAATTTATTATTACAAAGAAGTAAGCAATAAAATGTCTAACCTGTGCATACAAGCATGCCTGATGAAATGTAGATGGACAGTTATCACAACATATCAACTCCCCACCCTCACCGCAACGCCCACAACTATCATCATTTTGATCCATTGCATTAAGCTGTGCTGCTTGAGGATCTGGTTTCTTAGCCTTGTATTCAGCTAACCATGCCTCAAGCTGACAGAAGATGAATGGCTTATTACTAGTTTCCATGAAGAGATTCAAACTTGGATGGTTCAGCTTGCAACCAGCGTGACTCTTGAACTTGGAGATAGATAGCACTTCACCACAACACTTGCATAATATGCCTTCTCTAGTAATTGAGCCATCTTTCACAACAAAACAACCTTGTGGACCTTCCCGATATTGGATCACTTCGTTAGTCGAAATTGTCCCGGAATGAATCAACCATGACAACACTGTTCTTGGAGCATAAGCAGGCCACTTTCCATCCAAGGGCTGTTTCCCACCACCCCTTTTCAAGCCTCGCAGAAGTAACCTGCAACGACCTTTTTGTTGCCTCTTCTTTTTTAGTGGTTTTGATTTACCAAAAGACCTATTTTTTGCAGAACTGGATGCTTTATTTTTAACGGTAGCTGAGTTAGAAACACCACCATCCTTTACACACAACTTTTTACACTTCTTTGGCTTACTTTTTTTGCAGGCACCCTTTCTAGAGGATAATCCAGCCTTATAATTGGATGCCACTGTGTCATGTTGTTGCGGATCTGTCAAAATGATCTCGGAGAGCAGTTTTGATTTCTTCCTTACCTTCATTTTAGGGTAGGATTTTGCACCTAGAGAAACATCTTTGATCAGAGCTTGTTCTTTGAATTCTTCTTTGCTTTCTTCCTCGTGACACAGATATAAACGTTTTCCAAAGTTAACAGAACTTCTATTATTGATTACTGCCTCTGTTCTTCCCCATAAGGTTAAGGTTTCATTCCCTAAATAGACTGGAACTTCAAGCAAGCAATTGTCTTTGTCATTCTTCAATAGTCTCCTATGTTTGGGAGAATGCCGATTGTCATTGTCCAATGAAGACAGCGACCTTTTTTTAGGATCATGATGTACCACACGTTGATCAGACCATTTTTTATGTATAGATTGATCTTCATTTAACACAACACTAACTGCAATAAGAGAAGATTCACTAAACTCAATATTCACATTTGGAGATTCTTTACTTCTTGAGAATTCAGATTCATCCAGTTCTGTGAAGGAAGAATCCTTATCTTTCGACTGGGCTAGATGAATAGTGTTGGCCTGATGAGACTCAGTTGCACGATTCTTCAAAGAAACAGATGAGACAATGTCTTTACTAACAACATCTTTTTCATTGAACTTAGAGGGTTTCAATATTAAAGCATCCTTTCCGGCGATTTCATTTTCTCTATTCAGCTGATTTTGCAACTTCTGCAGATAGCAACCACAAATAACCTCTTTGTTATATGATTCAACTACATGACGAGTCACAATCTCAGAAGTTACTTCTACAGCAGCATCCAAGGAACCCAATGAGTTTAATGAACTTCTTAAATGAGGCCTGGTGTTAGAAAGCTCTTTCCTTTCATGCACTTTTCTTCGAGAGATTGCTTCCTTTGAGCAGTAAGACTTCCCATGCCCAATGTTTCCTTTTTCATCATCACGTTCAAATTTGATATTTCCGGTCACATTACACTTTCTTTTGCTTTCACTATTATCAAAGAACACCTTTGTAAAGATTTGATGCACATTGAGAGACCCATCAAATCTATCATCATGCAAGTCATAAATTATTTCTTTACGAAACATTTTCAATTAGTACTACTTTGTTCCAATTTGCAGTGATTCCAACCAACCTAGCAAAATAGTACTTCAACGGGTCAGTTTTTGTACTACAATCTTTTAAATGCCTTCAAAAGATTTTTAGAAGTTCGCGATTAGATTTTTGACTCTTGGACTTTACATGAAAGTGAAAACCATCATACTCATACCAAATCCTAGTGAAAATCATTGCAAATCTCCCAAGTTACAAGTAGCATGAAAAAAGGTAGTGTCAATCCTGTATAAATTTGGACTTGAGTCAATCTTCACATAAAGGCCCATATAAATAGTGTACTCCCTTTGTCACGTTGGAAGGTTCGCGTGAGTAAATGAAACATTTTTTTAGGCAAGGGGTTAAATTAAGTAATTTGGGTAAAAAAGAGAGGAAAGAGAAAATTTGGAAAAAGTAAACATATTAAGTGAAAGTAATTAAAGGGACAGAAGTTGGGGAAGGAGAAATTCTGACAGTTGACATGTAATGAGTAGGAAAGAGAAATTTGGGTAAAGATGTAAATAATGAAAGCAAATTGTTTACTAAACTAGAATAAGAACATTTAAATGGAACATCCAAGTAAGGAAAGTGAGAGCCTTTCACTACATAATCATACGCACATATAAAAGTTATAAATAAACAGTGTTCCAATCACTGACCTCGACACAAATCAAAATATGCCAGAAAGTATCTGACCCTCCCCGGGCTGTCCAACCCAACCTGGTTACTGTTCATAGTCAATCTCTTCTCAACCTCCTGGCAGCAGAGATATGGCCCGGCTCAGGGGTACACCGCGCGTCTACCAGCAATGAAAAAAATACAACGGCCATAGCCGATTTTACAATGCGGAATCAGATCGTTTAGTATACTATCGTATATGTCTGTACATATAACTCAATCCTGAAGTCATCGACTAGCTAGCTACTTGAATTGAGGTGTGCTTTTCCGGTGGGTTGATGATGATGATGAATTGATGATTACTACATATACATACATTCCTCATTATGCATGCATGCAAAATTTCCTCAGCTTACGTACTATTAGAGATCAATGCATGTGCAGATTAATTACCTTAATTACCTTAATTACAACGTAACGGCCTGTTCAATTCGCAGTTCAGCCTTCCGCCACGACTCTTTCTCGTTTCAAGTTTATCTTTTTCGGCGTAACAACGTTGCTTGGGATGGATATTACTCGATCAGCTCGATCGTCAGTATGTATTTAGAATTAGAATTAGAATAGGTCGCGCGGTTAACTTGATCCGACCTTACCGCTGCATGTGCTCAACTTAGTACGTTTAAGATACGGATCGGAGTACATACTTCAGGTGTACTGTATACCGAGTAATTTTAATAAAATTTTGTTAAATTTGATTCGTTGTAATAAATTAGTATCTCCCTTCCCTAAGATTGATACAAATTAAAGAAGAGAAGTGCACTTTTTTAGAAAATTAAAGTCAGGTGGTTAATAATGAATTAATAAAGTGAGTGAAGGTCCCTGTTTCTACACTAGAAAATATGGAAATGGAGCTCAAAATGAGTGAATGAAGTTTTTCTATGAAAATATGAAAATTTTCCATTGATGAAGAAGAAGTTTACACAAGGATAAGGAATTTTAGCGTAAAACTTCCGTAGGTATTACTCTCTGCGCTCGGGTGGGATTTTTTTTTGGAAAAACTTATGTACCTACTTCATTCCCATAGAGGCATATTTATAGCCTTTGGAAATTAGTATGTCACAATGATTGAGCTCTCACATTAAGGAGGCTCATATTACACTTTTGTAGACTAAGCTAATTTAAGCTATTCTACACATTATTAAATACAACAAGAGGTCTGTAATTATTACACTGATCACAATATAAAATATCTCAAACAGTGAGAATAAACTAAAAATCAATTATAATCACCTACAAATATTACCAAATATGATACTCCATCCGTTTCGCAAACAAAGTCACACTTAATTTCCTTTTTTGGATGTTTCAAAAACAAAGTCACACTTCCCTTATTTCCTTATTTGGCAAAGAAAACTACTTCAAAATAGTACCAAACAGTGCCAAACAGTGCCAAACAGTGTCTAAACAGTGTTTTCTACAGTAAAGTCAATTTATTTCCTTAATCCTAGAGAAGTCAAACCGTGACTGTCTTTGCAAATTAACGGAGGAATATGTGACAACTTTAGTGCGACAGACTGTAAAGATAAAACGAGACAATAATAGTGGGACGAATGGAGTATTTGTTTAACTATGGTCAAAGTTGTAAATGAAAACTGAACTAAGGACATCCTCATTCATGAGTTTATTTGGGGATCATTTTGATGATGTGGATAATATTTTTGGAGATCATGAGTGAGAAGTTAGGATTATTTGAAAAGATTATTTTGAAGAAAAAACTGCTATCGTGGATTATTAGAGATTTTGTTTAGAGATTATTTGACTTTCTTTTAATGTGCCGACTCTTGAGATTCTTGAACACAAGCGTTAATCTAGAAAGTTGTATAAACTTTCAACCGCTGCAAGAGTCTTATATTGTGAAATTTCTACACCGGTAGCACAACTTTTAAATACACCAGCACTACTATGTATTAAAAAAAAGCTTCACATCTCTAACGTTGTATGAAATTAAATTAAAATAAGTTATAATATACTAGTATATGTTAAAGGGGTATTGTAATAATTTATTTATTAATAATCATTAACCTGGGTGATAGTGTATATATAAAACAGTAATTGTGATTGAGTGAATGTTAAAAAACGTGTGTGTATTTTATTTATTTATGAGTCTATAAATACATGTATACTTGCATATCATATACGTAGTAGGTATATTAGTGTGTGTGTACATGTAGTGAGTGAGAGTGCATTTAAGTGGAGACATTGAGTTTAAATGTATATTCCATAAAAATGTGAATAGATGGAGATCATCATTGAGAAGAATTTGATGAGTTTTAAGATTTTTTATGTGGCAGTAACATGGCAAAAATATATCATAAAAAACCGTAAATTTCGAGAGCATGAATGGAGATGTTATAATACATACAATGTTGAATAATGTTATTAAGGCTCTGTTTGCAAACCCAACTGGGGAGTGCTTTTAACTTTTTTAAATGATTTGGTTAAAAAGTGATTAATAGTAAAAGTTGGTAGTGTTTGAGAAAAAAGTGATTTTTAAAAGTAAAAGTTGGTGGTGTTTGGTTAAATAAGTGCTTTTTGTGTAATAGAAAAAGTAAAAAGCGGATTCTAGCTTTTAGCTTTTAAGTAATTCATTTAAGTAGAAGTTGTCATTTGAAAACATCTTTTTTAGCTTTTTGAAGCCAAAAGCTGGGAAGTGCTTTTTTAGTTGTGTTTGCAAACAGAGCCTAAACATATTCGAGACCAATCAAAATCCATCACCAAGATTGCCACATCAGCCATTTGTTAGATTAGTAACATCATGGGTGAAAAACATAAATGGTACTTTAACTATTGATATTGCTGCTTTTAGTACTTTAACTCTTAAATAAATCAAAAAATCACACGTGATGGGCGAGATTCTATGCGTAAATTCCACTACACTTTAATTTTGTCCATATGATCACTATAGGGTGAATAGAACTTTGATCGTCATGAATGATTTTTGGCCGCAAATAATAAATCTCAAGTTCAAACATTTGTATATAGTTATTACATTGATGTGATTCATTTAAGAGTTAAATACAAAAACAACGGAACCGTTTATGCACTTAACCCTACAACAAACTATTGTACGGAGTAACAATGTCGTTATTCTATTAGACTAGTCAACTTTAGATATAATAGTCATCTTTGTAATTGTAATCTTCTGGACCGTATCTTTTGAAAAATACATTCTCTTCCGAAAATGGGAAAAATATAATCACCTCCATTAGTGATTGTATACCATGCTAGCTAGTTTATCACATACTTCCCCCGTTCTTTTTTAGTTGCAACATTCCTTTTTTCACGTTTGCCAACGCACAACTTTGACCGATATTATATTTAATTTTGTTTTAGTAAACAATAATTAAAAATAAATCAGATTATGAAATATAGTAATGAGACAAATTCAACAATATTTTTCAAAAAAAATAATTCACACACATTAATAATTAAAATGTAGTCAAAGTAGAGTACATGAATAGTGCATAAATTGCAATGTTGCACAAAAAAATAATTCACACACTACTAGCTAAGGTAGTAGCCGGACCAGAAGCGGCCGGGCGCGGGACGCTTCAATTCCCTCCTAGGTAAAATCCATTTTACAGCCGACTGTACCGTGCGCACGGTACAACCGGCCTTTTAGATCACAAATCACAGGGATCTAGCTTCCGTAGCAAATCGCAGGGCGCTGGTCTTCCTCCGCAGATCGTTCTCGATCTTCGATCTCCGTTTGGTTTTCCTCCGGTGGTCTTCCTCTGCAGATCTTCCTTCGCTGGTCTTCCTCCGCTGGTCTTCATCTGCAGATTGTTCTCGTTCTGGCTTCCAACTTTGGCGACATATCAGAGAACTTATGAGCATAACAGACGATATATGTAATTCTTCCGATGTGAGCATAACAAATTAAACTATGAGCACATTAGGCATTTTAAATGAGTTTTTTGAATGCTCATTCTCTAATTTATGTATACGCATTTGGTGTTAGTGCAATGCTCATTTTAAAATGTCATATTTATGCATGTTTCAAAATGGGTTTTATGTTAAACTAAAATGAGTATAACACCAAAAAATAATGAACACACAAATGCGTTTTTTAATATTTTGGTACTCATTTTGTAATTATGTATGCTCATTTGATACTATTTTATGCTCATTTTAAAAGGTTGCACATGTTAATTCATTAGACACATATTGAAATTAAATGAAATTGATTATGAACATAATTTAAGACTTTAATAAACGAAAAATAATAAACAAAATGTCATATACAAGGAACGAAGCAGATATCATTCATGCTCACAGTTAACTCGTTAAGCTCCTAATACTCAAAAGATACTCAAAAGATTGATTCAATTGATTCAATGCTCAGAATACCCTACCATCTCAAGTATATTAAAAAATGCGTGAATTCAATGCTCATTCATGCCCGCTATACGGCTGGCACCTTCCCGCTGTAGTATATACCCTTCCTTCCCTCCTAGATCCTCCGCCCTGTATGCCGGAAAAGCCCGATAGCCAGCGATAGGCGGTAGGCCCTCAATTTATCATATCATTGATGTTCTTCCTGTTGGGGATTTTTCTACTTTGCTTGCTCCTAACAGCCCGGTTTTGGGTGACTGAGTGTTGTCCTCATCTCTACTCTCTGGGCAACAGGTTTGATCACCATTGTTCACGGAAGAAGCTGCTGAAACACCTCTTCTAGACCAGACCAGCAAGGCAACAACTTTTGAGAAACACCTGCAAAGAAAATTAGCAAAACCCACCATGGCTCGAGACGCGTAAACGCTGTCCTCTGAAAGTATTTCCGGTGAACAGAAATCTTCCCCGAGGATATAACGAGCCCTTCGACAATAAGTCGGAACCAGAACTACGAGGGAAATAATTACAATAATCCAGCACAAGCTTAGTAAAGAAAACATTTTCAACAGAGTAGTTTTTCTTTTCTTTCTCTCGAAGAAGACAAAGTCTGCGTATCCTTTTTGAAGGGTTACTTGCTCCGTATTAAAATAATCAACATCTTGTTTTTGAGAAAAACCTTTTGCCACAAGCCTCGCCTTATATTTGTCAATTGAACCATCCGGATTAAATTTCTTTTTAAAAATCCATTTACATCCGATTGGTTTGCACCCTTTAGGCAAATCAGTTAAAATCCAAGTTTTATTTTTCTGAATAGATTCAATTTCATTTTGAATTGCCTCAAGCCAAAAAGGAGCCTCTTTTGATGAAATAGCTTGTGAATAAGTAAAAGGTTCATCATTAACAAGATATGTATAAAAATCATTTCCAAAAGATTTTTCTATCCTTGGCCTCTTACTTCTTCTCAAATTAAAGGGTTCATCATTAAAAGTATTATTTTCTTTTAACGGCTCACTTTCACGATATGGCACAACGGTCTTGTATTCTGGCTTTAAAGGAAACACACTCTCAAAAAATTCAGCATTTTTTGTTTCAATAATAGTATTGCAACTAAGCATATCACTTTTCAAAACAAGAAATCTATAAGCAGCACTACATTCAGCATAACCAATAAATATGCAATCAGATGTCTTAGAACCAATTTTCCTCTTCTTAGGATCAGGCAATAAGACTTTAGCCAAACACCCCCACACTTTCAAATATTTCAAATTAGGCACATAACCTTTCCACAATTCATAGGGTGTTCTCTTATTGTGCTTATAAGGAATTCTATTTTGTAAGTGACAAGCAGAAAGAATAGCCTCCCCCCACAGATTATCAGGAGCACCAGAACTAATTAAAAGAGCATTCATCATTTCTTTTAATGTCCTATTTTTTCTTTCAGCTATTCCATTTGATTCGGGCGAATATGGAGGAGTTATCTCATGAATAATCCCTTCCCTCTCACAAAAATCATTTATTAAAATATATTCGCCCCCTCTATCCGATCTCACTCTCTTAATCTTCTTATTCAATTGATTTTCCACCTCGGATTTATACACTAAAAATTTATCAAAAGCCTCATCTTTACTTTTAAGCAAATAAACTTTAGTGTATCTCGAAAAATCATCAATAAAGGTGACATAAAATTTATTACCACCTCTGGTCATGGTATTTTTTAAATCACTCAAATCCGTGTGAATTAACTCAAGCAGTTCTGATTCCCTATGTGTGGTAGGACATGATTTTTTGGTTTGTTTTGATTCAACACAAATATCACATTTTTCTAGTGACAATTTCTTTCCACTAGAAATCAAACCACAATCATTCAACAATTTAATATAAGAATCACTCACATGTCCTAATCTAGCATGCCACATATCATATGAATCAATTAAATAAGCAGAAGCATTTTCACGCATTAATTTCCGAACACTAAGCACATAACATCCATTCTTACAATAGCCTTTGCCCACAAAAACATCATTTTTGGTCATAACAATTTTGTTACAATCAAAAGAAACTTTAATCCCGACTTTTACCAAGAGAGAAACAGAAACTAAATTAGTCTGAATCTCAGGCACATAAAGTACATCATTTAGTGATAAAGATTTCCCCGATGTGAGTTTAAGAAGAACTTTCCCTTTACCGTGCACCTTTGCGGTTTTTGAGTCCGCTAGGTACACGAGCTCTTCGTCATCTCCCATAGTAGTACTAAAGGAGGTAAAAACACTTTTGTTTTTACAAATGTGCTTGGTAGCCCCGGAGTCTACCATCCATTCATTCACATCATTTATTTTACAGTTTTGAGAAACAACCGCAATAAAATTTTCATCACTTTTAATCAATTTTAATTTTGATTTAAGTGGATTATTGTTTCTCATAGTTGTCTTTCTATCACATAAAATGACATAAATTATAATAAGTGGGATTAAACCAAGGCTTATTGTGAATGGGGTAACAATTAAAATTATCACAAAATGCATTAACATAACATATGCAGATTCTCTAATACATAAAACTGCCCAGACTAAAGTAATTGATATAAATACCAACTTACACAGCCTGTATGTAAACAAGGATTTCAGCAGCCCACTTGAATGGAGTCGTAGGAGCATGCCTCGTCCAGTAATACTTTCAGAGAATGTTGGGGATTTTTCTACTTTGCTTGCTCCTATTAAAATAATAAAATATGACTGTTGGTGATCCTAATAAATAGGAGTAAATGATGGTAAGCCAAGTAACGTGCAATTTCTAACCAAGTAGAAATCATCCGGTCAAAATTTTACTTTGGCTCCACCCAATTAAGTGAAATATTAATTAGCCTTTCGGTTACTTAAGAATAAAACATTTGTTCGAAATATTTTGTTTATTTGAAATAACAAAATTTCCAACACTTCCTACATTAATTTCATAAAGTTGATCGAAATGCTTCTCCAAATATTTCTACTTTATATTTATCAACAAGACAACAAAGAACATCCTACCATTCGACCCTGATATTACATATTTACAGCCTATGAGAAGTTCACCAATGAGTGATTTGGTCATTCAACATGGATGGGGCAGCCATAACTTTCGTCTTTCACCAACAGAAGATTCTCCCCAGCTTCTGGTTTAATTTGCAAGCTCTCTCCATCACATTCTTTAGTTCAATTTCAGCATTTGTACAATTAGAAGACACTCAAGAGCAAGCTTTTGATCCTGTTTCAAGCATTTTATTGTCCCGTTAATAAAATGATATAGAATCTAGGATTAGACTGAGATCACTTGACTAGGCCATAATTTCCCTTATGGGATTTTACAGCAATGATTTCCCAGCAGAGCAATGTGTTATAGAAAATGGCCGGGAAAGATAGAAAATGTCTCACCTTTACGCTTGCCCGTTTTGGGAGCTTGTTACATACAGTGGCTTCTTTAACCACATGCTTCCAGGAAACACCATCATATTTATATCGCTCAAGCTTCTTTTATCATTCTCTTCAAAGGGTTCAAAGCCGAACCTCACAGTCCATGTCTCCACTAAACTGGGAATTGCAGAAAGCACCAGAGTCTCCACTTTCAAGGATTTTAGCATCTAGGGCCACATTCAAGCTAATCGTATAAGTGCATAATGCATAAAGCTGAAAGAATCAAACCCTCCCCAAAATTTGATATGACACTACAACAAAACAACAATATTCTCACGGACTTGGCACAGATTGATCGAGTTTGGCACCGGTGACAAAATAGTATTGTCATGGAATGTGGCACGGATTTGACGTATCTGTGCCAAATCCGTGCCAAATATGTGCCAAGTCCGTGCTAATATCATTGTTTTTTGTAGTGTCAATAGCATAGAGGGGTGGGAGAAACAAAATAAGTGAGCTTCCATTCTAAGGCATTACATCTTCCCACATAACTCACTCTATGATTCTGGATTCTAACCCTTTCCTATGAGCTACGCCCCTGTAAATTGAACTTTATCCCAATTAATGTACTTGTATTTTATATGATCTAAATAAGATTTACGTGCAGCCCTAATATTAATTAAAAATTTTATTTCCGCTGATTTGAAAATTCTTTAAATGGACTTAAATAAACTAACGAGGAGATCATCTAAAGTTGTGCGTAGAATTGTAAAATTGTCTTTTCTTTTCTTTTTAGCCAAAAATATTATCTTTTGCATTACTCCTTTTGAGTGTTATAAAAAGCGTATATGCAGGGATTAAATGAGAAAGAAATAATATCAAACAGTTTTTTAATTATAAGCTGTAAAGCTGAGTCAAATAAATTACTGTTTGGTTAAAAGTCTCTTGATTTGGTGGGAATGATTTATAAACCAAATTTCTAGGATTGCCAAATTTGTCATATCCAAACTTATTTCTCAATTATGGGTAATTCTAAACATATTTCTCAAATAAGAGTATTTTTGTCATGTCATCTACTATGTCAGCACAATGCTCATATCCACTTATGTCTTGTTAACATAATGACCACTTCACATATTACATCATTCATTGATTGTTTCATATCATTGAATTCGGTGAGCGGAATAGATGAAAAACCATATAAAGTTGAAGAAAGAAAACGCTCTTCTATGTTGCATTTAGTTATATGAGTGAGGATAGCTCGACACTTGTTTGATAAGATTTTTAAAGTATTATATCATAGAAGGGAAATTGTCCTTGCTAAAAAGTTTGTATATTCCAAAATAGGACTGTCATATTTTTATTCCCTAAATAGGAGTACTTACTCTCATCTTTTGACAGTATCAGACTTTAAACATGGCAGTATTTTTCAAGCTTGACAGTAATTACTCATGTTTAGGGAATAAAAACATGATAGTTTGGAATTCCCAAACATTTTTACCGAATTTCCCCATCATAGAAATACAGTTTACTTAGTTTAGCAGTATCATAGTTTCTTATTCTTATTAGGCTGAAGCTTTAGATTCTCACTTCCTACCCAGTCCACTATTTCCTTGTACCTAATAAGGTAATTAATACCTAATATAAACACTGTAATACACTCCAGAAGTAGTAAAGACATGAAGTTGAAAAGTCAGACATATCAATAAAGCTAGTGGCTAGGTTATTATTTGACAAAGATGTTTGGTTTTTTATGTACCTCCTCTATGCAATTCATAAGCCGGCGGCACATTCCCTTGTGGCGGTATTTGCTGCAAGTTGCAATTAAAGGTAACTCCGCTACCTTGGTCCCATGGATCCTGTTTCATGAGATGGTTTTTGAAAGAACAAATTCTGTCACTTCAAGGAGAAACAAGGAAAGAACATTCTTTTTTATATACATCTGAAAGGAGCAGATAGAATGTTGTGAAGGGTAGGTTAAATTTCATCCATTCATTCATTTAAATTGGGAAACATAACTCTAGGTGGCAAAAATTTGATGTAAAATATGAAGTAGACAAGCATATGAAATAATATGGATAGTGTTATAGTTTTGCAGTGACTTTAAAGAAATGGGGAAAAGTGCAAACGTTGGAAATCAAGAAATATTGAAAAATATGACTAAAATATAAAATAATGGATTAAAATGTGATTTCTAATTGGATAGTTTAATAGTTTGGCAGTGACTGTAGTGACTATATTGATTATGAATATTACATAGTGATCCATTATTGCGATATTTTGGCAATGACTGTAATGACCATTCATGTTTTTGTATATGAGTTTTATTTTAGCAATAATCTAGGGAAACTTTTAAAAGCTAATAGAACACTCTAGCCACAGGTATGGAATCTGAATGTCTTAAATTGTGGCCACTGTTGGAGTTCTCATGAATGTACTAAATTCTTCTTTCTCATTACTATTGTCTATATTGTGTTAGGAGCTTTGTTAGTAGGAAAGTAATAATTTTCTAAAGACACATCCTATGCACTTCATCTCTTTGTGAAGCCAGTAACAAAATACTCTATGTAAGAGGGTTTTCTTGTACAGTTGTAGTTTTTATTATAATAAAAGACATGGACAAAATATAATTACAAAACTATAGCCAAATCAAGAATACCATCATAGCCACTGCATAGTAAAATAGAACATTGGCATGATCACTACAGTCATTGCGAAACTAACACTATAATCTCAGCGGTGTATATGCCACAATTTTTTAATCATACATTTTCATTATTTCTTTATTAAAAGAAGCTTGGACTATGAGTCACCTAATTGTTGCTACCGACACCATAATGTCATCGTCTTCTAAAACAACAGTGAAAAATCCATGGTAGTCCAGACGTCCGAGCTGTGATCTGCAAAGAAGTAAAGTTAAAGACAGTACTTTGGAATATAATAAAGAGGGAATGATGGTACAAAGTCTGCACACACCCCCAATTATAGATAACTTGAGGTATCATGTCTATGCCCGTTTTAGGATCCACCATTGGAAGAAAACTTTCCTCCATAATGGTAAGGGCCACTGCTAACTTGGAGTTGCATTCTGCAATAAAAGGACGAAGCAGCTGGTCCGACTGACTGTTCTGGTCATGCGGGATGCACTTCAAAAGTGTCCAGGAGAAGCTATCACTCAGCTGATTCGGTAGTCCAATGAGAGACTTAAGATGGGTGTAAACCTGCATAAAGTGGATCAGAATGGACCATCGAAAAGTCGGTAAATACTACTAGTCTAAATAGCAAATTTGAACATGCCAAAACTACTATGGCTATGTTTGGAGTGCGGAAAATGGTAGGTTAAGGAAGAAACTGATGCCTGGAAAATTAGTTTCTTATGTCTGGTTTAAACTTCGAAAGTATTATGGTAACTCATGAGTAGCTTTGATTACAATTATAAGTTGCTGATTTTGAATTACTTGCTGTTTTGTTCTGTGTCACTATATCAGAACATCACACTTAGCAGTTCTTTTGTAGTTAAGACTCTTATCAATGTGTAAAATTCCTTAAGTGCAATCAGTAATTCACAACAACAGTTCTTTAAAACAAGAACTGAAAACGATTTAGCCATTTAGGTGTTGTGGTTCATAAATTACTACTAAACCTGTAAGACAGCCAAATGAATAGCATTCATCTGACAGAGAACATACAGAGCCATTTTGTATTAAATGATTTAACTCCATGCATGACATAACTTATTGGTATTCTTCCATTTCCGAATTTCCTAAAAAGAACTTCAGAAACCTGATTTAATTAAGAAATTCCTTTAATTAATGCTCATTTTGTTCATTCCATAGGTTGTTTATGGTTTAAGGAAACAAATTAAAAACATCATTTGTTTAGATATACTTCTAAATAAAACAGTCAAAATTAATAATTTCAAATGCAAAAGCAAGACAACTGGTGAAAACAGGTGAAGAAAAATTACTTATCTCTTTATTTTTCTTATAGTGAAGATAGTGAAAAAAAATTATATTATAAAGGGACGACTATGTTTACCTTTTCACATTGGTCACTACATGACCAGTAATCAGAAGCCACTCCACATTCCATGCCTTTCTGCTTCAAGCATGTTTCATAATCTATCATAGTTATCAAGACAATCCAGTAACAAAATAGAAGTCAAGAAAAACAATAACTTACCACAAATTGAAAACAGGAAAGTAAATTATAGAAATCCATAGGGAAAGAATAAGGACTCGTTGTGAAGTGAAACATTCACGGGAGAGCAAGCTTACATTGATGTTCACATTGTATACACTGTTGCGCATTAGTGAATGCAGAAGCTTCAGTATTTTTTACCACATCCCCGCAGGCTCGGCATGTGCATCGCGGACAATACCAACTCCCTTCTGGAAGTTCCTGAAGCCAGCAAGTCATAACTTTGATTAATGAATCCGTTCCTTTATTTTCAAATCAAGATATCATCTCATTCCGTTGAAGAGAAAGCAATACTTGTTAAACTGCAGTCATCGTAAGTCGTAACTCAACTAAGTAGAAGTAGCATTGTATTTAACATATGCAAGAGCTGGCATCCCATGAGACGATGATTGCTTTAGCCACTTCTGTAATAATTTTTAGCATGACAGTTTTAATTTATGCATATGTTCTTAAAATTATCACATTTTTAACGTGAAACAGTCTCACGTTGGCTTTTATAGTTTTATTTGCAAACTTACATACTTAAAAGAGACAAAACAAGTGTTTTTTGTTAATTGAACAATGGAATTAAGATCCAATACATACAAGACGTAGATGCTATTATATGACGCGACCTTCCTATTGAACTTAGGAATTGAGATCCTACACAAGACATAGATACCAATATATGAAACAGTAATCGTAGTATCATAGTCTGTACTTCATACTACACTAATTAAGTATATTCTATTAGTATAAATTCTACTTGACTTGCCATATATATATATATATATATATATATATATATATATATATATATATATATATATATATATATATATATATATATATATATATATATATATATATATTCTATATCTGTATATACTATTACCATATATTTCACTCCTTTCAAGTTAGTGTATCATGCTCAACTTCTTAACTAACTAATCAATATTAATCTCATTCTTATTTAATGCCTTCGTAAATAAATTCCCCAACTGTTCTTCAGTTTCACATAACCTAAAGAAATGAGACCTTTTAATCATTTCTCTTAAATACATTACAAATGCAATGGACAATATGCTTTACTTTCTCATGAAAATTGGGATAGGATAATGGATATAACACAATTTGCAGCCTGATTATCACACCACAACTTGAAGACACAATAGTCGGACTGTCGGAGGATTAAAAGTGGCAAAAACTCAAGTTTTAAATATGGGGTGCAAACTCATGTTTAGATGAAAAAGTGGGGTGTGAACTCCAATTCTGCCTAACTAGTTAGTATCCATTCTCATTTGTACAAATAACAAATATTGAATCTTTATAACAATACTTTCCCATGTCAAAGAACTATAGATATTTAAAGAACACTGAAGATTAAATTATAGTTATGAGATTACCAAGTTGAAATATCTACTTTCCGTTAGCCATCGTGGGTTAGATAGTTCTCAAACAAGCATTTAGTTAAGAAATAAGCAGCATCAAGGTTCTTAAGAACATAATCAGATTAGCAGAAGTAGCTACCAGTGTGAAGTCAAATGTTTAGTTAGGTACTTAGGTGTATCCTCACACTTCAAGATGACAAGCTAGAAATTTTAAGAGAGTGGAAAAATTAGGCTAACGGATTGAATTTATTATTACAAAGAAGTAAACAATAAAATGTCTAACCTTTGCATACAAGCATGCCTGATGAAATGTAGTCGGACAGTTATCACAACATATCAACTCCCCACCCTCACCACAACGCCCACAGCTATCATCATTTTGATCCATTGCATTAAGTTGTGCTGCTTGAGGATCTGGTTTCTTAGCCTTGTATTCAGCTAACCATGCCACAAGCTGACACAAGATGAATGGCTTATTACCAGTTTTCATGAACAGATTCAAACTTGGATGGTTCAGCTTGCAACCTGCATGACTCTTGAACTTGGAGATAGATAGCACTTCACCACAACACTTGCATAATATACCATCCCTAGTAATTGAGCCATCTTTCACAACAAAACAACCTCGTGAACCTTCCCGATATTGGATCACTTCGTCAATCGAAATTGTCCCAGAATGAATCAACCATGACAACACTGTTCTTTGAGCATCAGCAGGCCACTTTCCATCCAAGGGCTGCTTCCCACGACCTCTTTTAATTCCCCGCAAAAGTAACCTGCAATGACCTTTTTGTTGTCTCTTCTTCCTTAGTGGTTTGGATCTACCAGGAGACCTATTTTTTGCAGAATCAGGTGCTTTATTTGTAAAGGTAGCTGATTTTGAAACACCAACACTCTTTACACACAACTTTTTACACATCTTTGGCCCACTTTTTATGCAGACACCCTTTTCAGAGGATGATTTAGCCTTAGAATTGGATGACACTGTCATATTGGCGTGGTTCTGACAGAAGTATCTCGGAAAGCAGTTTTGATTTCTTCTTTACCTTAATTTTAGGGAAGGATTTTGCACCTAGACATACATCTTTGATCAGAGTTTCTCCTTTGAATTCTTCCTCGTGACACAGATATAAATGTTTTCCAAAGTTGAAAGAACTTTGTTCTTTCAAGGTTAAGGTTTCATTCCCTAAATTGACCGGAACTTCAGGCAAGCA